CAGTGTTCCGCAACCTTTTTCTACTTGCGGCACACCCATGACTTCAATACGGCACACCAAAATATTATTACCCTCAAAAACGTATGATATGATACTATTAATAGCATTACGTAATGCCACTAACCTATTATTATTGTTATTAAACAAACACCAACACCTGTGAGCAAATTTTTTTTACGTATAATTTTTTTAGAATACACAAAAATGCGTGGCTTGTAATAAAGAATAAACAAACATCATCTTATTTCATGAGTACTGCGGCAGAGAATGAAATACAAGCATAAGAAACACAACAACTGTGATAAAAATATATAAATAAAATTTGAAATTAACAAAATATGTAAAAGTTCACGTCACACCTTTCACAATGTGACGGCACATCAGTGTACCGCGGCACACCGGTTGCGGAACACTGCCTTACATAATGTATTACAATAAAGTAGGCCTACAGTTTAGGTTGGCAGGGAGGGGGAGAGTGCTGCAACACCACAGCACTAGCAGAAAGTTGAATTTGCCGACTGGAACGCTTTCGGTTTACTGATGTTTCGGTTAATCAGTATTTGGATAATCAATGCTCTACTGTATATATCAGACATGGGAAAATGCAGCTCTTTTTGATTTACATGCAATTCTTGCTGAAAGTGTTAATTTCTGCCTTCTATTATTATTTTTACAATTTTATTTCAACAATTTTGTGAAAATATGTTTATTAAAAAAATTCAATATTTGTTTTATATTATATTTATATTATATAATAAAATCACAGTACAGAACTGTGGTATAGAATAAAAAAAGCACAGAACTGCAGCTCCCATGCATTTTGCAAAATCTAAATTTCGGCTCCCACTGAACTTTTGCTTGCCCACCCCTGGTATATATATTACTGAATATAGATGTTTGTTTATAGAACTTTAAATTTCTCCTTCAGGAAACAAAATAATAAAAAATAAAATTTACAAATTAGAAACTGAATATTTATCAAGATTTAAATGCAAATTATTGAATTCTTTTTATAATGATAAACAATTTTAAATCAGACTGAGAGGAGGATTTGTAGTTATACAGAATCAGATAAGAAACTGTAAGCTTTGAAATAAATAATTTTGCAAAAATATATTTACTATAAAAATATGAAATGAAGTTTATTCCAGTTTTGCTGAATGTTTTAAGAGAGTTAACATTTTTTTTCATATTTTAGTAAGTTATTAGTTGTTTTAAGAATATTTATTTTTAAAATTTCTATATTTTCTTTTGACAAATAATTAGATTTAATGTACAGAATATAAAACTCCTAGAGTATTTAATAGTTACAAATAACTCAGGAAAAGTGAGTAATGCAAATGGATGGAAAAATACTCTTAGAAGTAAGTAAATAAAGAAGAATATGAAATACTGTATATGATATTCAAATGATCAACAGAAATAAAAAAGTTCATAGTGTTAAATTAAATCCAAAAAGAATAACAGAATCTCATAATACTTAGAATAAAATTTTTGTACTTTATTTAATTTATATAAATTAAATTTATATTTTTTACTACTTTATTGTAGACAGACAAAAAATATTTTAATACAAAACTTGGATCCATTGAACAATGAAAGTTTTAAACCATAATTCTCAGGATTCAATTTAGTATAATTTTTATTTCTGATGATTAAGAATTTGCAATTAGGTAACCCGTTTTTCCTCTTTCCCTATCAGTTTATAAAATAGAAGCATTTCAAAGTTAGTTTGATATTTTTATTATACTTTATTTTAAACAGAGTTAAGAATTATTAATCTTGTTTAAAATATATAATAAAGCATAATAAAAATATCATTTTTTGAATAAAAGAAACTAATTGCTGATTTAAAATAATAATTCTAATTGAAAAAAAATTCTTCACCATGAATTTGAAATTTTGGGAAAGATATAAATATATATCACAAAAAAAATATAATAAAAATTATGTATAAATTTACATATATATTATAGTACTATTACACAATAAAATATCTATATATTTAATGTATTTAATCATATATACTCACATAGGTTTGCATTTCTGATATGCTGGGTTGGCACATATTTACTGTTTCTGTATCAGCACAGTGCCTTGCTAGTGGATTCTGGTTTAGCTGTGCCATCCTGTATAATAAACATTTGTACTGATATCGATGTTTTTTTTTATTTGAATATTTAATGATGCATATTATTTTACATTATGCAGCAATATATTATGTAGTTAATTAAATAAAAATTAAATTATTACTGCATTTAGAAATTAACACTTTGGATCCTGAATGCATCAATTGATATTATTCCTATAAATTCAGTGATCAAAATTTCAACGGAAAATTTTTTCCTTAATTCCAATTCATTTTTTTAATGGTTTCTATGATATATTTTCTAAACATACATTCAATAGCTTTTGGCTTAATTTGCAGACAAAATTTCAAATATGTTTTGTTATTCTGGCATACACTGATGTTATACCAGAATGTCTTTCAGTTTCAGAAAGTGTTTGATCATGTAAATAGAATTATACCTGTAGTATTTTTTATTAGAGCAAAGATTTTAATCTTTAATACATCTCAATTTAATATTCCTTTTGCAGAAACAAAGATGATTATTATTGTGGTACAAGGCCAAAAAATTAATATCAGAAATATTAAACTGTTCAATAGAATATATTCATTTTTTCTGTAGTATGCCATCAAATTAAGATTACAAAAGAAATATAAACTTCATAATAAATCAAGAAAAGTTATAAACTAGTGCATATACTTTATAGACAGAGTAATTTTCAAGTGCTGTTAGGTATTAGTCCCTATTATTGAGAGATTTAACCGGTTTTAAACTCTACTACAATAAAAACATATTTATAACCCAAAAATTTACAAATTACGACGACTCATGTTAATCAAACTTGCCAGTAAAATAATGTTATGACAAAATTAACAATCTTTAGAAATATATTCTCATTTTCTACACATTTTATCACAAATGAAAATTTTACTTCATTTTTATACTTTATTGAATTGAATTAACTTTCAAACAAATATGAAACTTTTTAGCAATGAATCTTTTTCTGACTTTCATAAAACAAAAGAATATATTAAACAATCAAAACACTAGGATCCAAAGTATTAATGAATTAAAACACACATTTTTCTGCAAATATTTGTCTGTCTGAATTATACTTATTCAAAATGCAACAAAATTTTGAGGATAACTGATAACAGTTTTCAACTCAGTTGCAAACTTTTGTTGATATCAAATGAAACTTCTCTATCATCTCAAATAAACAATTCAAACTAACATCTGAACTGAATGTATAATGGAAAAATTTTATGATAAAATCTATCAATAAACTAAAAGCTATTTCTTTAACTTAAAAGAAAATGATATAGATTAGAGCTTGGATATTGAAATAATACATGCCCAATAATATGGGATATAAAAGATGGCTATAAATTATATAGAACATTGAAATATTTTGCTCAGAAATAAAATCATTAGACTGTGCTCATGTTTAAATTCTTACAAATTCACTGAATTACCTAAAGCTGAATAGGCTATATCTGTAATAATTTCTAAAATTATTTGAGTTGTACTTAAAGTATTTTACTAAATGACACATTCAAAATTCAGTAATTAGGATTATACATTTTCTTATTCATTCTGAATGATCAAGAATTTATTGTTTTCTTATTAGTTCCTTAAATCAGTTGAAAAATAAATGTTACTATATTGATTTAATCAATTTCATTTACATTTAATATCATTTAGTTCTGGAATTTTTAATAATTATGTACAGGTAGGCCTCCTACAACGCGGTACCTTTAGAATGTGTTTTCGCTCCAACACGGTTGGAAAAATGTGGAAATTTTCTTATAACGCGGTTTACGGTATTTAAAAACAAATTATCTTTCACATAACAGAAAAATTGCAATGGATCACGTAATACGCGCCGCAGTTCGGTGTACAGAGCTAAATGTCCTCGAAAACAACTGTTTGTCCACGCTGACATGTTATTCCCATGAAAGTTTCAGGGGAAGACCGGTTTCTAGACAGATGTGCATCAGTTACCATAAACACTCAAATATATCACTGAATTTTCAATAATTTATACTCTTTCAATAGGTGGGGACTGCAAAAGTGGTCCAAAATACAGTATAAACTTCTATTGGGTGTATATTTTTAACAACATAGTAAAAAGAAGTTATTTTTTTTGATTTTTACTGTCCACAAAACTACTTGAAAAAATTTTAGCCATAACAATGTCGAATGATAAGAAAGGAACATTGTTAAAAAGGAAATTTATATCTCTTCAAACAAAAATAGAAATTTTAAATTGAATTAAAAATCAAGAGCGGATAGCTGATATTGGTAGGCATTTTAATTTAAATGAGTCAACTATTCGATCGATTAGGCAATAGGAAGAAAAGATTAGGAATTTGGTCGCATCCGGATCATCTATTCTTGCAAAAAATGTTGCTCGTCCGAGAGCACCTATAATGAAAAAAAAATGGAACAAGCACTAATATTATGGGTAGAAGATATGAACAAGAAACGGTTGCCTTTAAATAAAAATGCACTTAAACACAAAGCCTTAAAAATATTTGATTATTTAAAACAAATGGGACAGTTGTTGGCTGACGAAACCAGTGTTAAATTAATGGCTAGCAATGCCTGGTTTGAAAAATTCAAAAAACACCATTCAAATGCCAAGTTTTTCTCTTTTTAGAACCGAATCCCAGTTTTTGTATTAAGTTGGTATCTCCTATAACGCGATTTCCCACAACGCGGTATTTTCAAAGAACGTATCTACCGCATTGTAGGAGGCCTACCTGTATTAAAATGCATTAAAATATAAATTTTTTAGATATAATTGTGTTCAAATAACACCATGTCATTAATTGTATAAGTTCTATATTACAGGTATTATTAAGATTCTTATTAAAATGATATACAGTAATACCCCGAACTTACACGATAGGTGGGACCGAGCGATAACTGCGTAAGTCGAATTTGCGTAAGTCGGGATATAATTTTGCAATTTGTGTAAAATCCAAGTCGGATGTATGTAAGCTAATAAATGTTCTCATTAATCTTATCTCTTCTTTTGATTCGTTCACGGTTACAAGATATCACCACATAGAGTCTCACAAGTCTCCATAGATATAACAACACAAAAATAAATAACATAAAATAAATTGTAGCTATGTGTTGATTCCGCGCAACACGTCCGAACATGTAAGCTGAACAATAGTGTGGGGGAATGAGTAATCAACAGTTGCGTGACACTCAAATAAAAGATGAATCTACGAGATTTGAAAATCGCGTAACTCCAGGTTCACATAAGTCGGGGTATTACTGTATTCATTTTAATAAGAATCTTAATAATACCTGTAATGTAGAACTTATACCACTGATGAAATGGTATTATTTGCCTTGGCTTTTTTCTTTAAATGATGGTTTTTAATCTAGCTGATTTATTTTCTAATTAATAGTCATCTTGAAAATAATACTAAATTAATGTGAATTTAACAAATTTTTACCATAATATTTTTCAATTAGCATTTAAAATTATCACTTTATTCCAATATCCAATGCTATAAATGTATTAACTTCACAGAGATCACATGCAAAAATAATGACAACAGTTTATCATTGATGATTAACTATCCCAGACTGTATGGAAGCAAAACATTATGTCAAAACTTTTTAATATGGTTTTATTTAATGTTCATATTAAAACTAATAAAAAAATAGAGATAATTTTAATGCTAGTTATGTATAAATAAGTACATCAAAAATTTGATTAATTCAAAAAATATCAGAAGAATTACAATATTATTTCTAAAATATTTTCATTGAACATTTCATAAATGCAGATTCAAACATTCACGTAACATGCCTAAGATGTAATTTCTAAATATACTGATTCTAATATTTTTCAAAATGTTCAATGCTGTTTTTTAGAAAAATATAGGAGATTGTCTAAATAAGCTTTTCGTTAATTCTATTTTTATAGTTTACTAAAAAGTTTTAATAATGATATTAACACTTACAGATTTGATGTAGTATCATATTACAAATTTAACATATTAAGCAATTTTAAGATATTATTTGCTATGCTGATGATAAAGACTATTACCAAAGGTTGATTTTAAATCATAAATTATTTGTTTATAATATATTTTATATTTTTAAAGTAACTATTAAAACAATTGTTAATAAATAAACAGGTCTTATTCTCAGCTGGACATGATTATCCTTTTTTCCATCTTTTGTTCCAGTGTTTCACTATGACTTTTAAAAAATAATTGTAAACTGAGCTCTCAGGATTAAAAATTTTAAAAATTTAATTTCCATTACCAGAATGAAACCTAAAGATAATTCTAAAGATTTTGTGTTCTTAATTAATATATCGTTATCTTCAGTAATTAATGATTAAACGAGTAAATAATGCATTATACAAATTCTGTAAGCTACAATTGTGTTTACAACTAAGTCTTTACTGATTTCTTATTATTGAAAATTAATTTAATGTTTTGGTGTTTTTTGTTGTGTATCAACTTATCAAAGTGGGGATGTTTTTTGAAGGAAACAGAAACAAATAACAAGCAATAGTAGATTGGCAGTACTTCTAGTGAATCAGAGATCAGTTCAAATAGAAAATTTGATACCATATAATTAAACTTAGGGTAAAATATGATAATCATATAAACATTTTGCTTCCTTGATTTTTTTGTATAAAATTTTATAAAATAAACTGTATAACTAAAAAGAATATGCATAAACCCTTATTAAAAATATGTTGGAAGCAATATAAAGCATTTGCATTATTATTTAGCCACCTAAAAGAATATAACATAAAATATCAAGTATGAAAATTGAAGAATGAATATACTCAATATCCTTAAGTGGTTAAATTTTAGATATTAAACTATTTTTTCACAGTGCTGGATACAAGATATTGTATTTTCTAAATACAAATTGCATGTTTTCAAACAAGCTTTATGTTTTATGTATACATATTTTTTGCATTTTCATTTAAATATATGCAAAAACTTGTAAATCGAAAATCAACACAAATGAAAATGCATGCATTTTATCATCTTTAAAAAAATTAACAGGAAATACAAATAAAATTAATAAATCAAAACAATTTTCCTGTTAGAGGAACATTCTTGTCAGTGCAATGGTCATGATATGGAAAATTAAAGATTCCTTTAATCAGGAAAATTGTTTTATCATCTTTCCTGTATATCCACATCAGCTATCATCGAGAATTTTTTTTATTATAATTCGCAACTCGTTAATTTCAAACAATCGATATTTACCCAGTCGGTCCTGTGTTATATCTGTCAGTAGGTTGTTGTGTTTGTATGATTTGTGGCGAATCGTCGACACGTTTAGTTTTGGCCCTTTGTCTATTTCTCAGTTTCTCGAGCCTTTGCCTACGTTCTGGTGTCGATTCATTCTGACGTTTCATGGCTGCTCTTTCTCGCATATTTTTCAGTCTTTGCTGTCGTTGCAATAAAGTCTCATTTTGACGTCTAATTGCTGCACGTATTCTCAGATCTTCTAGTCTCTGAAGACGTTGAGCCGCAGATTCGTTCCGACGCTTAGCTGCTATTTTTTGTCTCATGTAGGCCAGTCTCTGCTGTCTTTCAGGGGTCGATTCCTTCTTTAGCCTAGCTGCTTGATACTCTCTTAGCTTTTTGAGTCTTTTTTCTCGTTCTTCTGCTGTTTCCATTGCTCTTTTCCCACTTTCACAAGATCTTGGCCTGTAAGGCCTTCTCCTTTTCTTATAAGGCATATCCATTTATACTTACTAAACATAACATCACTTCACGTATCTGAAACACACCGATAATACTATAAAACCGCCGTCTATTCGAAACGGAACATACCAAATTGTTATGTATTTATAAATTTAATTGGCTATATTTGGGCTAAAACTATGTTCACGATAAGGAAAAATAGGATAAAAATAGTTTTTCCTCTTTCTTTTTAAATAATAGTTGACTGGTTTCACGACTTTCATTTACAACAGCTAAATCTTGTTTCGTCGCTATATTATTAAGCTACAATAATTATCACTTCAAGTGCGAGTGAAATGTACTGTTTTATTATTAACATATTAACGGTCTTAATAATGAAACATTTTAAATGTTATTATGTATCTTTTGACTAGTGACAATTTCCGGATATAGTTGGATGGAAAAATATGAATATATCGCGTTCAGATCGGATATTCATTTCACAAATAAACAGTACGGCTCGTTTCGCTAATCTCGACCTGGCTGTAAAAATGCGCAGTTGTAGGAACCACTTTGCTTAGTGAAGGCGTGAAGGGAACGGATTGTTGACAAATCTTTGACAAGGTACGAAGTTGAACTTTATAAAACTTTCAGAGTACCCAACCGAGTATCGAGCATTGCCCGGCCAAAATACGTGAAACAATGTACAGTATAAAATGACAGAAATATGCAAGACGAAAATAACGATAATTAAAGAAAATTTTCCAACGTCAAGCATTCTTATAAAGTACATTTTTACTTAAACCTGTAATACACTGTATAAATTCATGAATAAATATTACATTTTAAAATTATTTATGGGGAGACAGGGATCAAAACGCACCATAAGCAAAATCCCACTTTTTGGGGAAAACGACAAAAAATTCTCGCCCTTTTCCATTTAATATTTCCTAATCTGACTTGTTACAGGTGTGTTCCGGATGTTTACAAATACAGAATCATGCAAAATTTTGTAATCGCGTGTACCTGGATATACATGTAAACCGAGGGACTTTTTTTTTTACTTTTTCCGACCTGTGGGCACTAAGAGGGCCTTTTATAGCAGGCCCATTATGGAGCGACCGGATGGTAAGGGACGGAGCCCGACATATCCGAACGGACCACCCCCCCGAAAATTTCCTGGGGATTCCTTGACCCGACCAGATTCGGTCCCTGTCCCCCAGAGCGGTAGGCTGCCACCTTGACCGCTCAGCCATTCGGTTGTCAAACCGAGGAGCTAGGTTGCGTATGGTACAGTACATTTTGTCTTAACAAAACGTATTATATGCCTTTAAAAAAACGAGATCCACTAAGGAACAAGAGTTCTATCTCCGGACCTCACCCAAGCTTTCAACGGCATTGAACATAATGCCGGATCAAGTTGTATGTTAATCTGACACAAGTATCGTTTTCAAATCATAACATAATTAATATCGTAAGTATTGAACCATACGCAGATAAATGTGAAACCGTAATTTTCAGAGAAAGGATTTAAAAATTGGACCAATCAAAAATTTCTATTTCATGTAATCGTTTGGAATTTTACATTTAGCATTAGCTTATGGTCTCAAATATAACATGTTGAATATAATAGAAATACTATATCATTGAAAAACTTCAACATTTACAGTTAGTCGCTTATAGTTCTATACCTACGATACGGGAGTTCAGACCTACTCTGTATTATTTTTGTTACGCGTTGTCTATCTTCACAATATCCATCTGCAATTTATGCTTTGGTGATTCCTTTTGCAAACGTATTTCAAACGAAGATCTTCATCCCACTTAGCTCTGAAAAACTTCTCCAATAACTTTACGTCAAATGCATTCTTTGCATTAATTAATAATTAGGGTAAGTGAGATTGCCGTTCCAAAATTATGGTAACCCTAGCCATCAGGTTAGAGAAAAACTACGACATAGTGGCGCATCTACGAAAAATAGTGCCTATGGCAAGCACTGAAATTGTGCCTTTGTCCAAATATCTGATATCTATCAGATCTCTTTCCTATAAAATTGGCTCAAAATTACCAGTCAAGTTCCTAATGTTTTAATTGACAAATTTTGACACTACATAAAAATTACAACTGCACTTTTCTCGCTTTCACTGATGGAAATTGGCCTATGATGTGGTCAAAATCAGTTTTTTTTTGTTTAGTTTCTTCTCTTTCTACATTAAGCAAACAAAATTACAGAATCTGTTTTGACCATGAGGCTCTCAAATACGAAAATATATGTTTTATCTTACTGAATGATCTTTCACAGTTGGCAATGGAAACTATGAAAACATTATCTGAATAGCATTGAATGTATATAAATCTTATAATCGAGATGGATTGATAATAGTAATAATAAGCGCAGAACCCAAATAATTAGGAGTTCAAAGTTAAAATTTGGTACACAGGGTACGTCATGAGAATGTACACTAAGAAGGGATTTTTCGAAATTCCACACCACGGGGAGAGGGTTAAAGTGTTACCTTGAAGAACTCGGCTTCTGCTGTACTATTTTAAATGCATTTTTGCGGGAAATCGAACATATTTTTAGACCCATCTAAAAATTCTCTAATTAGTCTCGGAAGATGGTAATCCTAATTCTTGCGCACGATGAAAACGGGTAAGATCGGCTATAATCTAATGATTTCAATCTTTACTATCGTTACTTTTTGCCCGAGCAACGCCGGGCTCATCTGCTAGTGGTTTAATAATCCACCAATTATATTTCTTGTTACCCATGATAATCAAAAACAGATGAAGCAGATATTATACAGCTGAAATAAATCCTTTTTCACTATCCAAGGGTAGCTTATCTGACTTGAATAGAAAGTGCTCGGTGGTACCCAAAGGACGAGCTATACTTGCCATCAGAGCCGGCCTTACCTTAGGGCGAACGGAGCAGCCGCTCCAGGCGCTAAGTCCTAAGGGGCGCCTCAGTGGTAAAGAAAATTAAAGAAAAAATTAATTTTTTCACTTTTCGATATTTTAATTGCAAGCATGTGGTCAGTATGTGAATGGCCTTATTTGTTGAGACGCGCGTGGGTGGAGTGCGTGGGCGGGGTTCCACCTCCGGGCGCCATAATAGGATCTGGCTCCATCTTAAAACTTTAACGATATGGCACTGCTTGCCATATCGTTAAATATGCTACTGCTCCGATAACTTACGTTAACTCTATCAAAAATAAACGGACTTCTTTCCAATAAATTACCTTCGACTTAAAATTTAAAAAAAACCGAATTTTTTGCATTTCTCGAAGTTTCAAGATGCCGAGTCCAAAAACGTAAAAATCTAGGAGGAATCATTTTTTGACCGATCGCCATACTTTCCCTCTGCTATATATAACAGAGCCGGTAAAGTATAAACTAATTTGCAACTTAATATGTTTCTTGTTTTACTGTAGCCAATGCTACAGTAAAACAAGAAACAAATCCATAAATAGTTAAACGAAGAGAAATGTAAAAAGTAACTTACTGTTTGAAATCCCTCATTTTCACCATTTCAACTACCCCTCCTTTTCTGTCGTGTCATCCTGGAAAGAAAAAAAGAGTGATTTGCATAAGACTCCGAATTAATGCCACACAACGTTTATTATCTAAACTATTTGTAATTTTAAAAGCTCTCGAACAACAACAACAAAAAAAAAAACAAAAACAAAAACAAAAACAATTATCATGGAAAATGCATGACTTCAAAATGGATTTTAAAATTCTAAATTGCAAATTTTTAAACTAATGTAAAGTCTAAATTTAAGTTTATAATTGCATAATTTAGTTTGAAAATATATGGGATAATAAAACTGACTTAATAGCGTCTATTTAGTCACGTTTTAAAATTGTTCCTTTAGCTCTAGAGTGTAAATAGACAGAATAACAAAAAACCAGCAATTAGTTGTGCAACTTTCCAAGCATTATGACACATTAGCACAAAGTTAAAATTGCATGTGGCGACATATGTTATAAGATTTTATTTTTAAAACTTTCTATATTATTAATTATTATAAAAATGGCAAAATGCTTAATTTTAAGGGTAGAGATCTATCTATATAACTCATTGAACGCGTGTCCGTCCGCGTAACGGTATGCCAAAAACGGGCACAGAGGCGCCCTAGCGATGATTTTAAATTAACAATAAATTATTTTTATTTGTACAGTAATAGGAATTTGTTATTGATATGAATTTATTATTTATACCACGGAATGGTATAAATAATTATTATATGCCTTGATTAACCTAGCGCCGCACGTTTACAACATCCCGTGACTTACATTAGTGAACGTCGCGCATTGACTCACGGGAAATTTGTTGGAAAAATGGCGGATACATTTAAAATCGAGGATTACAAGCGAAGGTAAATAAACAAATTAAACTATTTTAAAGTATTTATAGAATATTTAATAGGTAGAAATCTAGATCCGTATGACGCGATTGGGACTTTAACAGAGCTGTAGAGCATATTGATAGGAACAAAAAGTCAAAGGAACCGTGCCTCACGGGAATTTGCAAAGAACACCCCCTAGTGGGCGTTCTTTACAAATCCGGGCTACTAGTAGTTTTATAAAAATAAAAAATTGTAACTGTAATAACAAGTAAAATCACCCCCGCCGTGTTTAAACGCGTGTATTTTTTAATGTTTTTAGTGCTGAAAAATGATGCCCTCAGTACCTTCCTTCGATGGTGTGAAGATCGCACCGAAAAAATTTCAAAATTGCACGAAAAAAATTTTTTACATAGAGCCACAATGGAAATCAGTAGGGTACTATAGTACCCCTACTGATTTCCATTATAGTACCCGCGCGCCTAACGGATTAAGTTTTATTAGCGCGACTAACCGAGGTGGGCGGATCTGACTTACAGTTTCGAGAAAACGCTTATTGGTTGCTATCGAGTCAATCATGATAGAAATGACCAATTAGAGCATAAAAGGCGTAAAAACAGGATTTTTAAAGCCAATAAACGGCAAAAAAGTTTCCCGTAGACTTAGCATTGAAAGTTTGAAAGGTGGTGTTTTTTGGCGATATTTATTGCTAAATGGTGTTGAAAACATGTTTATTCGTCTAAATACTGTCAAGCGACTTATCATTAGCAAATTAGAAGTGGAAAAAAATATTAAAACACGCGATTTTATAGCTATTGTTTACATACTTCGATGTGGTAGCCTTCGGGAGCGTGGCATTTCGCGGGAATATTTCCAGCAATTGTTTTTATAGGTCGATCTAATAACAGACATAAATTAACCAATTACAGTGTAAAAGAAGTTTACTATCGATGTTATCTGCCAATAATCTCCATTTTTACCTCTACTTGCTGTATGATTTTAGATGGTGTATTTTTGGAAATATTGAGATATTTTTGGCCCGGGGTTTGGTACAAAGAATTTAATTGCTGTGACAATTAAAAAACACATACAGGAAGACGATTGACAGCTTAGATAGCATCAGACTTGTTTACAGTTTGTAAAATACACTTTTGAAGTTGACAATTTTTTTTTTGAAAAATTTATAAAAACGGGAGACTTTCTGTTTTACGTTACGAATAAATAAAAACGATATATTTGAAGTAGTTTTCTTCACTAATACATCAAAAACACATGCCCACAAACATCCAAAATGAAAAAATCGCGAAAAAAACTATGAGTTTTGAAAAATTGAATTTTGAAACAGCAATAAAAAGCGTCCCCGCGCGTCTAACCGTGCGAGAGTAACTCGTCGCGCGTAACCGTGGGTTAATATTGCAATTATACAGGTTATGATCGATAGCGGATCCATAAATCTTTAAAGTGAATGCAAAAAGAAAACAGTGTGCCTTACAGAAGTTTTTATTACTTGTGATACAGTCCCCGGCTTTACTCAGGAAAAACCCTCAGAACAGGAACTCAGCTGCGCCCTGCATACCCGTCCTGAGTTTGCTCCTGGACACAATGTATATGGTGGATAACGACACAGTGAAACTGGGAGACAGAGCAACTGTAACAGGAGAGGAAGTGAAACATTTTAAGGAATAGACAAAATACTATACGTCGTTCATAATTATTTCCTACAGAAGAGAGCGGGTAGACGTAGATTTCGGATAATTTTTGAATGAGATGCGGGCAATTTTTCTCGGTCAAATTGGGAACATTGGTTTTTTGCATACTTAGGCTGACGAGAAGCATACAAAGATTCCTTCGTGGAAATGTTATTTCCTGGATTCCTGAAGCCGGTACAGAAGAAGAAACAAGAACATTTTAATATATTGCGTTTTTTTGAAAGTATTTTTTGTTACTTATTAATAAAATGTACAGATGAAATACAGTAATACCTCGACTTACGCGAACCCGGAGTTACGCGATTTTCAAATCTCGCCGATTCGTCTTTTGTTTGAGCGCCACGCAACTCTCGATTACTCACTCCCCCACACTATTGTTCAGCTTACATGTTCGGACGTGGCGCGCGGAATCGACACATAGCTACAATTTATTTTGTGTTATTTATTTCTGTATTTGTTATATCTACGGAGACTTGAGCGACTCTATGTGGTGATTGTAACCGTGAACGAATCAAAAGACAAGATTAACGAGAACATTTATTAGCTTACATACATCCAACTTGGATTTTACACAAATTGCGAAATTATACCCCGACTTACGCGGTTATCGCTCGGTCCCACCTATCGCGTAAGTTCGGGGTATTACTGTATTTAAATAAGGAATTACATTATTACAGCTTGAATTTTGCTTCTAAGATACTAGTATATTTTGAAATATTTAACTGACGTCAGGGCGGATCTAGGTTTTTCGGTGCCTAGGGCTTATTAATTAAAATCCAATGGGGTTTCATTTTTACCAAACCTAACCTAACCTATTAACTATTTTTTACTATACGACAAGTGCTTATTGCTAATGAACAAGTATTAAAATTTATGATAATAATTCAATTTTTGTGGGCTGTTTGTTTAGTTTAGTTATGGCAACGCAACCCTTGTGCGATCTGAGGGGGATGCCTTCCGGGAGGTTTTTTTAAAGCGAAACTGGTCCCTATTTAGGCGTTACAGACATGGAGAAAACCCGGAAAACTCCACGTGGCCAGCCCGTCCGAGCGAGGCATGAACCCACGACCGAACTCCCAGTGTACAGGGTACGAAGACCGCTTGGCCACTGGTAGGTACTGGTCCCTATGTAGACCCGTCCCTGACTGACGCTATAATAGGAAGTGAAGTTTGTAACTCATCTGTATTTAGTGTCTCAATCTCTCAGAATTCTGATTTACAGTATACTGAATTAAGATTTTAAATTAATTACGATTAATGTTGGTTTTGGCTTTGTTCAAAATAAAAATTGTTTTAGGGTGTTACAAAGCGTAAAATCAAACGACAGAATCGAAAACAGAAAATAAGTTCATTGTTCCTTATTAACTCTTTTTGCCCGAGAGCATTTTATCCACGTCCATCACTAATTCAAGCAGATTCACAATGGGCGTAGCTGGGTACAATATATAAATTGCATAATTTGTTTTTGAATCTTATTCTCAGCCATATGTATTATGTAATAGCTATAATCTAACTGGAGAGAAATTTAAAAAGAAAATTTGATAGTTTCTGGTTTAGCCGTTTGGTGGCTACGTCATCGGTTTGTTTTGATCGAGTTGAGAGGTTAACTTTGTGAAAGTTGTCTTATAAAGTTACTCTGAAGTGAATATGTTACAGTTAGAAAAGAAATTTTACATGACAGTAACTCAAGAAAGCGCTCAAAGAGCCGAAGAAACAAGCGAGGATCGAGAGCAAAGACTTGCCCATCAGAGAGAAATTAAAGCTGCTAAACGTAGGAGGGAATCGACGCCAGAGCGAATGCGAAGACTCGCTCGTCAAAGACAGTTTATGGCTGCTAAACGACGGAACGAGTCAATATCCCAGCGTCTGCAAAGACTGGAAAAGCAAAGGTTACGTGAGGCGGCCAGACGTCGAAATGAATCTTTATCACAGCGTCAGCAAAGACTTGAAAAGCAGAGACGACGAGCGGCCATTAGACGTCAGAATGAATCGATGGCGGAACGAATGCGAAGACTCGAAAAGCAAAGATGGCAAATGAGAGTTAAACGTGCTAACGAATCGCCATTGGAACGCTTGCAAAGAATTGCAATTCAGAGACAACGACAAGCAGAAAAGCGTGCGAGAGCATTGAATGGGTAAATATTGATTATTAATATGAAAATGGGGTTCATAAATTAAAATTGATCAGTTGCAAAATAATTCTCCCCTTCTATTGCATAAAACATGTTTCAGATTTATTCTTTAATTGCTGACGATTAGTTGCAAATGATACCGAGAGTTTGTGCAATATTTGATGCAATATTGGCTGTTGTATTGAATTCCGAAAGATGGTAACATTACTCATTTTGCCACTTTATTCGTGCAATGGATCTCTTTGAATATAACTTGATCTTATTGAGGCACATATCTTAACTCTCAAACTAGAACAGTTAATTGTTTATATATATATATATATGTATATATCAATAATTTTGAATTTTGTACAGTTAGCTGACACAGTTGTTCTGTTTTTACTAATTAGTACATTTTTTAACAATATTTTTGTTTGTATTATGTCTGTCGTAGTTTTGGCAAAGTATATTTAACGAATATTTATTTTACGGAACTGTCTGTTTATGGTAACTTTCAAAACAGCTATTGGAACAAGTATTTTTTTAGCTTTCCTGAGCTTTTTTATATGATTTATTATAATGTTTATTGAATATATATTTAACCAAATAATTTAATGTACACTGACAGTTTTGATTACGTGTATTTTTAAGTACAAAGTGTTTTTTATTTATTGACCTCAATTATATTTTTTAACAAAAAATCTAACTTTATACATAAGAACAAAATTTCATTGTTTTAAGTTATATTTTGTCTTTAATTATCTGAAATTGCTATTTTTGATTAATATATTGACTATAAAAGGAACTTAAATTTCTTATTTTTTTATAGTCTACCTTTTATAATTTTGAAATATTTGTAATTAAGAAATAATTTAAATTTAATAAATTTATTGCTATGATTGTTTCATACTATTGCATTATGTAATTGACCGTTGTTAATCTATTGATAATTGATCTATTATTATTAAGTTGTTTTTCTTCAAAGATTTGTTAGATAGGAAAAAATTTTCAAAAATTTATATCTTGTCTTTCAATTCTAATATTATCTATTTTGATTTTAGTATATTATCTGTGGTATTTAGTAAATTAAAGATCAAAAATAGTTCAAGTAAATTTATAGGAGTTAGAAATACTTTCAATGTAATAAATGCTTTCTGAAGCTGGGATTAATATTTCCTGATAACTAAAATATTATGTTAATGAACCAAATGCTTTTCTTATCATTTTAAAACAACAAATGCATGAATTGAATGTATTAGATTTAAATTAAAAGAACAAATTACAAAAGTTCCATTATTTGTTTTCTGGTTCTCATACATTTATTTAAAAGCATATTACCATAAAGAACACTAATAAATTTCAGGAATCCAAATTTTTATCTAATATAACCAGAATTAAGTGTTTTTCGGGGCCTTTATTATTTTTTTTTTTTGTCCTATCCGTCTCCAGAAATTTTCCACCACTTGAACATTTCATTATGCTGTTCTATCAAAGCTGTTATGAGGTTTTTACAGATGTTTGATATGAAAATATGCAGGTAAATATAAGGTGTGAAAAGATGTAAACGGTTTTATTATATTAATTAAACATCTGTAATAAACTCACAATGGCTTTACAAAATTATTCAAATGTTAGAAACTTTCTGAAACAAATCTGATAGGATGAAAAAAACATTTAATCATGATTATATATAAAAATTTGGACTCCTGAAATTTGTTAGTATTGTTTATATAATAGTAATTTAATATTTATGGAGTTGAAGCTGATATCAAAGTGATATAAGAGTATTATTTTTGATTATTAAGATGGAGTTTAGGAATTTATTGATAAAGATTAATGAGCATTTTCCTACATTTTCAATATGAGATTATTTTTTTATGTTGCCAATTTATGCATAAAAAATTAAGAAACTGAATACCACAAGACTAAGAATAATTCTTGCTATAGAAATAGTAAGAACCATTCTTGGAAATTTGTGATATTTTGGAAACAGCCTAATTTCTTGATTCTCTTTTACTGACACATTGTATTTTTTACATTTTCATTCATGTTAAAAAAAATAGTTATTGATATTTGAATTGTTTATGAACTTATTTTATGTTCAAATATAATTAGCAATGTTTATATAATTATTAATTCTTTAAGAAGCTAAATTAAAGTTTTTTTGATAAATAAATTAACCCTACCTAGACAAATATTGTTTGTCAAACAACTATTAGCATTCTATGTTTTATGTATGTTAGACTTTACTCTCTGAAGTATTCTAGTATATAGTGCACACTTTAGAATTCAAACCTCCAGTGATCTGAATTCTTCAGCAGTGTTCTCCCTGAAAATTTTTAGTAATCAAGTAGAATGAAGTGGTAGCTGGGTTGAACAAAAAGAATATTGGGCAATATTATAAAATTCTCTGTTTGTAAATTTAACTCTTCTTTCTCCATAAACAGAGCTTTTGTAATGAAAAACTTTCTAATATAATAGCATATTTACATTCACTTGTAAGCAATCAACATTTTTTTTGTTATCTCTGCCATATTGATCAATGATTGCTGTTATAGACATCACAACCATCCTTATTTTCTATTGGTTATTGACTTACGATTTCTGTTTACAACAGAAGTTAAAATAGTTTTTAATTCAGTTTTGTAGATCCTAGATCCTTTCTAAGCTACAGAGATGGAAAATATTTATGATTTTTGTTTCCACATTATTTTTTCACAGATGGGAATGGAGTTTTACAATTTATAAGAATCAATATCTTGACAAGTAAATTCATTAGATTAACTAGCCCAGCCAAAGGATAACATTGCTTCAGTATTCTAAATTGAAATCTTGATAGGTTATGCACACTTGCTTTAAATGAGAAATAAGAATTATGTAAAATTGCATGAAATTATTATTTTTTGATTGAGAAGAAAAATTATAGAAATTTTACTTACCAAATAGAAGAACAAAAAAAATTAAAGGTGTCTTCAAGACAATGCACATCTCATAATCTGATTAACAGCTTAAAAGTAACAAAATGTAACAATTTAATAAATGTTTTTAAATATAAAAAATTGCTTAAATTTAATTATTCTATTCTATTTTGTAACATATTGTTGTCTTGTTACATACATTTAGCTTTTTAAGAGTGTACATTGTCTTGAAAAATATTTAATGAGAATAAGATACTAAAGTTCCTTTTTGTATTCTTTAACGTTGTTCAATATTCCTTTTAATATACTTTCTGTTAATTGAGACAAAGTGTTAGAAAAGCCTCTTCTATGAGGCTTACAAAATTGTGTTTGTTCTCAAAATTTGTTTGATTGATTTTGATTAAACTTTGCCATTTTCCATTTAATTAAATGAGGAATCCAAAAATGCAATAAAAAATGTGGGTCCTTGACTTTGTTTTTGAGATAGAAGGTTGTTTGAAAAGTGTGCACAACAAAGCGATATTGCAGGAACTGTATGACTTTGTCTTGTAAAGTTTTATGGTCAATAACACGTTTTCTATTGTCTTATAGAATTGAGTTTGTTCACAATATTTAATGGGTTGATTTTGATAAAACTTTGACATTTTCCATTAATTAATTGAGATAAGGAATCAGAAATGTAATGTGAGATCATTTAAATGTAAAAAATCCATCAGCAAATTGCTTAACTTTTCCGGCAATATTTAAAATTTTGGTGGCACCATCTGTTATCATATTTTATTTTAAAAAATTTATATTTTTAACCATTATAAAATGACAAAATTCTTAATTTTGAGGGTAAGGATGGTTTTATAAAAAAATTGTAAATGCTAATAATGAGTAAATCGTCATTAAGTCTAACCCTACTCGAGATACGACATAAGACCCTCCTTTATCTTTCCACCTTGTTGACCTTAAATTACCAAAATTTAATAGCATCAATCTCTCTAATTCACAAACCTTTCTTGAAAATTTCAGAAATTTTCAAAAGCACAAGAGTTATTAAGCTTCAAAGAGAGTGAACAAAATCATGCCCCCCATACACATTAACATCCAAACATACAGAAAAAACTTGGATGTTTTTGCATTTCTTGATGTTTCAAGGTCCGGGGTTCAAAAATATAAAAATCTGGGGGGGGTAATTTTTGACCAATTGCCATACTTTCCCTCTGTTATATATAATAGTGCCAGGAAAGTAAAAATAGGAGTCCATGATTTCATTTTTGATATACAAAGATATTACAGTGGCAATGTTCATGCTATCTGATGCAACCGAGCACACCTAACAGAATTTAGGCCTAGGGATCAAAAATAAAAACAGTATTGTGTGTGCCAGAAAATAGGCATGGAAAATGAACAAAACACAAGAACAAAGCAAATGCCATTGATTGCTTTGTTCTCAGATTGTCTCTTCCCCATACCTGGTCAGTGCAAGGATTGTGTTGCCTGTGGCCGGTAGTTATGAGGATAGCCTTTTTTTTGTGGTGGCAAGTGCAAAGTTTGCCTGTCTGCATCTGTGAAGTATAAGAATTGCCTCTTCTCTGCCTAACAGGTGCAGGAATCACTTCTTTCTTTCCGGCTCCGCCTCAATTCTATTGTGATACAACAAAGTTGCACAATGTTGTAGTTATAAGTTGTCAAAGATTTTTCTTGTGTTTGCTTGTTTTAATTTTGAATGACTATTTATTAGAAGAATTTTTTGTTTTGTTTTCTTTTTTTAACAAACTAATATAATAAATCATTAGTAATAAAGTTATATTAATAATTTTTTTATTAAAAATTTTAAAGTATTATTGTAATACTTCTTTTATCAAATCAATTTATGAGAACAATGTGATTCCTTTTTTCCAAAGTTATTACTACTATGTTAAATAATACATGTAAAATTTCATTGAAAATTTATATATGAAGATTCTATTGAATTGTCATTACAATTTTTCTACAAAAAATGTTTTAAAAAATATTTTCTAGCTATTTCAGCTATTAATAATAATGTGAAACATTTGACTTTTGGAGATATTAACTTATGTTTCTATTTTCTTAACTTATTGACTTATTTTATATTAGTTTGCTTGTCAAAGACAAGCAAACTAATATAAAATATACAGTGTTTACTTACATTGGTTGTAAAATGTTTGTCTCTTGAAGATTTTTTTCCTGAACTCAAATTATATGAAATATTAGGATAAATCTGATTATCATCATCAGAATAAAGAATTATGGTAAAGAATGTACCTTTAAATTTATTGAATTAAAATTATAATTAGTTTATTAGTCAGTTATCATAACTTTCATTTCTCTGCAGTCATTAAGAAAAAATATTTCAGTATTCATTTGTTAGGAATTTGTTGCTTCTATATCAAAACTGTCTGATTTTATCCATATAAATGGAATCTATTACTGTAAGATCTTTCAAAATTTAATTGACAATGGATTATATACAATAATATGATTCTTTTCTTATTATCAATATAAGAAGTTATACATATAATAATTATAAACAAATGTGATTTGCATATTTTTTGTATTTAAAGAAAATGATGTCAACACTGTTCTACAGAAAAATTATATTAACATCTTTATTAATATACTTACTCCTGTTAAATCTTTTAACTTTAATATATTCATCAGCACTTAAATCCTTTACTAAATAGTGATTTATTTCTTTTATGAAGATACTTTGCATAAAGAGTAGCAGCTACATTTCAAGTAAATTTGTTTCTACTTTTGAAGATAACTAGGCCTACAATTTATTTAAATTGTACTTGTCTTAATACAGAAATTCTACTATAATAATTAAGGGTAGGATTTATATGCATTTAAAATCACGGTATGTGTGCATATATATGCATGTAAAAATGCCAAATATATGCACTTTAAAATCCTGAAATATATACTATGCATGTAGGGTCAGTAAAATACACTAAAATTGGTAAGTTGGAATGCATGCATACTTCTGTCTGCAAATGAATTTTACTAATGTTTATTATGTTATACTTTTAAAGTGAGAAGGGATTAATGTGTGATAATAGGTGACAAAAGAGATTTCAAAAATTGACATTACAAAACATTTATGAATAATGTTTTATGTTGATGAGTCAAATTGAATCAATTACAAATAAAAATACATATTCAATAAAATTTTATAACTTTCTATATATTCTAATCAATCATTTATTGAATTTATTTCTATGTATACAATTGTTTAAATAATGTTTGAGGATGATCAGGTTAACCTAGTTTCTCTCATCTTATACTTTTGTCACTGGTCTATAGAGGTAGTATATTTTTTGCTTATATTCCAGTACAAATTATGGGAAATAAGTTAACACTGTTATTAACTATGATAATTATAGATTTAATATCACAGTTGATATTAATGTTTCTTTCCAACTGATATCGTGAACTCTACTAAAGTAGTCTTCAGTGCAACTAGAACTTACCTGTGAAGAATTTTTGTAAGGTAAATAAACATTTACAATAATTTCAATCCTATTATTTCAAATTATTTTGAGAATTTGAAAAATTATAGATTTCCATGGAAACACAAAGCTTGTTTATTTGTGGGAATTTAAAAGAATGTGAAATTTAAAACATTTGAATTTTGCATGCTCCATCTGTTATTGAATGACAGAGTAATATTTTTCATGTGAACTGTATATGCACAGAAAAGATTCACTACACAAATAGCAGAAATGGACTATAAATCATTTGAGAAACATAGTACTTGCAATCAAGCAAACAAGCTATGAATTTTATAAAGCACTTATTTCAGTTTATTGACCAAAAATGGACAAATCTGCAAAATATGCAGTTGATCCACTTGGACTCAAATTGTGTTTTATTTTGTGGTTTTAACATTATAGAATTTAAAGAAAAACATGCATGTGCATATAAATCTGACCCTTAATAATAATGATATTTAAATTGTCAAATTATGATAAATGGCATTCTTGATGTTTTAATTTTAACCAGCCTTTTTCAGGCTCTAATGGAATGTCTGTAAAAGAAGAATCTCTTCTTAGTAAATGTCTGAGTGCTGGCAAATCATACTAATATATTATTCAAAATATTAAAATTTTTCTAATTTAGTTTATACAAAGTTTTCATCTGAATACTGAAATTAAAGAAGAACATATATCAAACTTTAGATTTCATCAAGAAAATACATGTAAAAATGAAATGACAATAGATAGCAACATTATCAAGAAGGATACAGGTTCAAATTATGTTGGAAATGCTCATCAGTGTGAAGAATATATTACTTTGGATCATACTAATACAAGATTTTGTATTCCATTGCTTTCAAAGTATGAAACAAATTTTTCAAAGGTATGAAATTTTCTATTTCATATATAAAGATTTAAATTATATACAGGCAGTACTTGACTTCTGGATATTCATCTTTTAGACAACTTGCTCTTTTGTACACAATACTTTGATACCCTTATGCCCCTTTCATATTTCAAATTTGGCTTTTCATACATTTTCAGTTGACAAAAACTTTGAGCTATTGTGCAATGGTGCTTTATGCCAATTTTAGTTCTATCAAAATCATTTCTGAAAATTAATATTTATTGTCTATTTTCTGTTTAATTTATGGTTTTAGCATTTCAAAATGTTTCATGTATTGAAATATGTTAACTGTAAAAAAAGTAAAATTTTTCTATATAAACAAAACTTTCATTTGCTGCAGAGGAAAGAAAAAACTTCCCTTTACACCATACAATTCTTGTTCAACTTTTGGACAATAGAGTTGTCCAAAAGTTGACTACTTTTGATTTTCATATATGTTTTTAGGAATGCATTACATCCAAAAGTCAAAGATTGCTTATTTAATAAGTTTATGCAATATAATTTTTCATTATTATTGAATAAGTAATTCTATAAAATCCAAAACTTTAGTAAATACAATAATTTTAAAATTATTTTTTATTTCAGCAAATAAAAATATATTTGTGATTAATAAATGACTGCAGTTATATTCTTTAAATTAAAAAAATATATAAATTTTCAATAAAAATTACAGCTATTTAGAGCTAGTTGCTTATATTAAAAATTCATGTATTCAAATTTGCATATTGTTGTTCAAAATATATAAGATTCATATAAATATAAACACAAACACTTCAGTGATGATTTTTCCATTACATTGTATATATTTATATGTTCTATTGAATATAATCTATAAACAAGTACAATCAAACTCCATTAATACATTATTGGTTTATGCAAAGTCTGTGTTAATGCAAAGTATATTTGTGATTCCATGGACAAGAATAGGTATTTCAATGTTAATGAGTTCAGTTCATGCAAACTATCAGTTAATAAGTAATATAAAGCTTGTTGTAGCCCCATGAATTAACTATTATATACATCATTTAATACAAAGCACACTGCTTCCATGAAGTCATATGAGCCAAAGTGGAAAACACAATACACATCAGGACTAGGAGTGTGTTTTTTATCTTTAAAATGTTGGTCACAATGCTTATAATACTGTCATTGGACATATGCTGCATTACAATGTTCACTCCAACTTGCAAAATTACTCTCTTATAGTCAACAAATTGTATGCTAAGACAATGCTGAACAATTAGTTAAGACAGTTGACATGCATGTTGAAAACCAGAAATTGTTTTGTTTACTCTTTCTGCTCTGTAGGTACTAAGAGGGCCTTTTTCCCATTGTGGGTTCAGCCAGACTTACAATGGAGCTGATGAACCCCATAAATTTTTTTTAACACATCAAACAAGATAAGACATAGTGAAATAGTTGGAGAAAATTTGGCTTCTGCTGTTTGATGGTATGACTTTTAATTTGTTTTTGTAAAGTTTGCTTAATACAAACCTTATTAATACAAAGTATTAATTTTTAAGTCATTTCAACTTTCTATTAATGGGGTTTGACTATATATATATAAAATTTTAATTGATATAAACATTGAATTTGATAGCATAGTAATATTTTATCACTTTAAATAAATTTCAAACAAAATTATATTTATAATAATCTTCATATTTTATTTTTCTGAATAAAGATGATAAAATATATGTTGTCTGTAAGTCAATTTTAAAAAATGTGATATTTTAGAACTTATTGTCATTTAAAATAATTTTTGTTTTATTCTTGTTAACTTTTTAAACTGTGTTTAAAAATACATCTAGTAATGAAGATATTGCTAACATATTAAAATTTATTGTTGAAATATATAACTTATATTTCCTTAAATAATATATTGCATAAAATATAATAATTCTGCCTAAGAAAAGCAGATAATGAAAAATTTCTGTTAAATATTAATATTACGTGATTATATGTGCAAGAGGAGCTTTAAAATTAAGCAACATAAATAAGTCAATCATCAGAACTAGTCATGAAAATTTGCTATGCTTAATGCAAAATTTTTTCATAACAATGAGTGTTTATCAAAGATTTTGTTTTCCAAATAATAAAAAGATAAAATATTTTCACAAAAATTTTAGTGATGCTAATTAAAATTATTTCATTAAATATACAGAATATATACAAATAGGAATTTTTTAAAATTGGAAAACACTTAACAAAGTTTCTATGTAACCTGCAAGAAAAAATGTTAGTGCTTTTGTAATTCTGTAACTCAAAAAAGTTTTTGAGAGTTTAAAAGTGCTATTTAAAATATAGATGGACAGCAGCAATAATCTGAGTAAAGATGGTGATCAAAGAGAAGGAATCTTAGTGTATTAACATGACTGATTGATTGAAATGAAATTAGTTATTTGATGCAAGAGTTTAAGAATAACTTACAGGAAGAATTTTACTTTCAGATAATTTGTAAATGGCATTTCAAATTTTTTTACAGTGGGATAATAGATGTTTTTCCACTGTAGATGCTCTATACCAGGGAGTCCAACCCACAGCCTGCAGGCTACACTGTGGCCCACAGCACCTTAAATTTTTTAGGTACATTTTCATTGTTTTGGTGAAGTATGTCATAAACTAGATACACTTTGATGTCATGTAACTGGTGCTAGAAAACTTTTATCTAGAAAACTGTACTACCCCACATTCATAACATGTTGTGAACAATTCTTTTTGTGCATGAAAACATCAAAACTGCTGAAAGAAATAGGTTAAGTTATTCCCATTTAACTAACATTCTTAGAATTAAGAATAGTATTATAAAAGCAGATATTGACAATATTATAAAAGGAAAGCAATGCCAAAAATCACGTTGAATTTATTTTTATTTTGTGTGAGTATAATTTTTTCTTTTTTTACTGTCAATAATACAGTATTTTTTGTAATTATATATAATTGTTATTAAAATTTAATATTCCCATTTTGAACTTTTTAAAGGCATATATTTATATAAAGTACCTTTGCGACCGGCCAAATATACCTAAATTTCAATTTGGCTCATTAGAAAAAAGATTGGGCAACCCTGCTCTATACAATCAAAGAAACAAACAAATTTGTGGTGAAATTGCAACGTTTAGCTAAGACATTAATTAGGTAATCATTTCAGCAGTCGTAGGTAGTCAAGCCAACAATCTGAGAAGCTCTTCATAAACACTTTCATCTATTACAGTATAAGCTGCTGCTACTTCATGCAATAAAAGCAGATGAAATATATGGACATAGCACATCAACAAAATATTCAAGTTGTATGCAACTAATGATACACCTGTTGAAGTTTATTGAACAGGCAGTAAAAGCTTTGAGTTATAGAATTAAATAGCATAAACATTATTCGTGACACTTTACTGGACTTACTAAATAAGTTTCATTAATTTATTTAATTAGTGAAATTTTAAAATATCCCATAGTCATCCTAAGTGTACAGTTGAGTGAGTGTGCATATGTTTGTACAGGGTGTCTGGAATTTCCAAATAGTCATATTTCCATTATTTATCATTGATTATGATCATTAAATGTAATTTTGTTTCAAATGTCAACCAATGGCAAAGGCTGTTATGGAATCAAGCAAAGAATCAACCTAAATCTGGCTTCTTAAAAAATTAAAAATTTTAACTTGAAAAATATTTAATTAACAACCCACAATGTCAGTGGAAAAGTTGTTTGTGCGAAAAAATAAACCCAAAGTATCAAACATTAAAATTTAGGTGATAATACCAGTTTTATGTTCTAAAAGGAGGCACCCTGTTAACTGGCTTGTAGTTCAAAATGCATGGTCTGCATAGATATTTAGCAAGTAATTTCAGTCTGATTATATACAGGAAGACTGCATAGTCAGACATGGCATAATACTGTGAAGGTGGGTGAACATTAGGCCAATTTTATGCCTGATCCATTACTGTAGAAATCATGAGCTAATAGTATTGTGGCATTAATATTAATACCTGCTTGATGTTACCAGTTAGTTATCATCAGTCATATAGGTAAGTTACAAAGTGATTACAATAAGCAAGTTCTACTGTATTAGAAAGATTGTTCAAAAGAGAAAAGGTATTCATTGAATTTTCTTTCTTGAATTATTTTCTGTTTCAATTTAATATTTCAGTTTAAAACTTAAGAAAGACACTTATAAAGAATAATATCCAGAATTTTATTAAACTTATTAAGTTTAATAAAATTCTAGATATCATTTTTCTGTTTATATTAAATGTTTTATTAAAGTTTTTGAGATATTTATAATTTTTAGTATAGTATAATAAGAATTTATTTTATATTACAGGAAGAAAAAATCAATCCAGTATAAATAAATTGTCATAACAAAAAAGATAACATAAAAGACTATATCTCAAAGGTTATCTGCCTTTGAGATATATGCAGAAAACTATGTAAGATGAAAAAGTTTTTAATGTTGGACTGCAGAATACTGGTGAGAAAGCATGTATTTATAACATTTGTGGTAAGATTTCATGCATTATGTAATCTTAAAATATATCTGAGGATTGATATAGAAAAGACTATGCATGTGGATATTCAAAGTGGTGCATTAAAAATGCATAAGAAACTGCACCGAGAGAAACCATTGGTATTTAGAATTTGTGACAAAGCATTTATACTATCAGCATCTCTTAAAATGCATAAGAGAGAACTAGAGAGAAATTATACAAGTGTGGGCAATGTAATGAAGTTTTACTAGTATAAGTGTGATCTTACACATTGGAAGATATACAAAAGATTTACATGACATTTTTAAAAATCACTCATTCTGGTATTCTTATGAAAACTAACTTAATTAAGGAAAGCTGTTTCAATATAACATCTATGATAAGATTATATTAGTTCACAAATCTCTGAAAAATTCATGAATAAAAAAATATCTGAATGTGATATTAATAAATAGATCTTTTTAACTTTAATTCTGTGTTTATAAAAAGACTTGTATTTGTATAATATAAGATTTATTCAGTTGACAGCATAGTAATAAAGCAATACATTAAAAAAGTTTATATATTGTACTTCCTTGATTAAATCTGGGAGAGCTTTATTTTTTGGAAAGAGATGATGAATTAGAACCACAGTTTTCCTAATTTTCTTTTGGTTGATAAGGTTTTGACTTATGAATTCAATTGTGACTTTTTATGCTCAATATTTATAACATCATTTCAAAAATTGTTTCCAGGAACCTTGGAATAGAAAGTGCTGTCAAACTCTAGATATTTTAAAGAGGTAGAATTTCAATTAAAGTCCTTACCTGTTACTCTAAACTGCATTACCCTATACAGTGCAATAATTCATGTTTCCAAAGCTTTTCAACCCATGATTTATTTTTATTAGCATCATTATTCCCCAGAGTTTATTTGAATCTCAGGGTTTAATTAAGAAAGTATGATATATAAAATTAGAGTACATTCATTCAAAGGTAGGAAAGGTTTATTTTACGTATGCATATTAAAAGTGATATATTGAAATACAATGATTACTGAAGCAGAAAAATGAAGAATACATCCACACATTTATATAAATTTGTACTATTTTATAGATTGTATAGTCTGTTTATTAAATTTTTTTTCAAACAAAATAAAATAATAGAAACTAAATTAAATGTTTAAAATTTAAACTTTGATTAAATTAGGTTACTGAATGAAAAAATGTTCTGAGAAAAATAAAAATACTTAAAGTATGTACTTCATGCTTTTTTGTATGATTAAGAAATTTAATTATATCTAAATATCTATAGCAAAGTTTAAAACTTATATATTTTTAATTCTAATATTTTAAATAATTACATTATTTGTGTATTTAAAAACATTTGTGTTATTTATATCAGAAAATAAATATTACTTTATATAAAAAAACAAATATTTTTTCAATAGATTATCACTTGTAGCTATACACCTATATGGCTATTTAGCATTGAAGAAGTAAGCATATTTTCATCTCTTAAGAGTGTAACTTTAAAAATATTTATCTTGTAATACTAAATTATCTTTTGGGAATTCATATATTTTTTAAAATTTTAACTAAAGACAGATTATTTTTGTATTCTGTAATCAAAATATTTAAAGTGATAAATTGTATAGTTTTAATGAAAATATAAGTTTGTGTGTCTGTTTAAAAAAAAATATATATATGAAATCTTTAAAAAATATATGAAACTTGATTCATTAATAGAACCTCCAGGATTGTTTCCATACATTCATTCAGTTTAAAAACAAAATACTAATAACTGTATTTGTGAAGCATATTTGATGTTTAAAATAATGAAAAAATAATTAAAGGAAAAAATAATTAACAACAATTGTTAAATATTAGTTTAAATGATTGAAGTAGACAAATTGGCATAAATGAAAAGAATATAATGATGTTATTTATAAGAGAAACATATTTTGTTTAATGGGAAAACACTTGTTTATTTGATGATTTTCTATTTGAGATTTAAAATCACTGGCTTTTAATACTTCATGACAACATTAGGACCCTGCTTTCACACTACATATACAAAGTTTTGAAATCAAATATTTTTTCATAATTTATAAAAATCTCTTTCTAAACATTCAATGTGGATACCTTGAAACTGTTGCATTGATCAGTGGTTCACCATTTACTAGACATTAAATGTCAATTGTTTTAGTCTTTCCAGTCCAAAAGGATTTAAGCAATGTGTACTGTATATATAATTTTATTTACTATTGATACTATTTCTGGATACTAAGAGAGCCTTTTAAATATATCAGTTTCAATTAGTACATTTAATAGTGGTCATTTTTAAAATATTCTTTTCTTTTGTAAGTTTAATCATATATGTATGTATATGATAAACTTACATATATACTCGTATATGTACTGTACATTCTAAAATTTATAGAAATATTGAATTCAGTTTCATTACTATGTCATCACTGTCGTGACTCACTATAATGTGAGTCAGGACACTGATGACAGTACTGTAGAATAGAAAGCAGCATCTTGCAGAAGTAACAAACATTTACAAATTTTTATAATAATTATTTAATTTCACATTTATAATTCGTTTTGTATATTTCATTGTTCTTCTGTAATTTAATTACAATAAATTGTATTGATATAAAATATATTTTATACATAATGTTGAGCAGGTTTTAGATACAAGTGAGATATTTTCATAATTCAGACTTTTCAGTACAAATGTTCTGATACTTTAGGCTGTTAACCCACGTATAGAAGACCAATTTTATTGATTAATGAGGAAAGAAAATGGCAGATTTTTGCATTGCATATAAAGGTAAACGATCCCGTACCCTCGGAGTGGCGCCTTAACTGATTCGGTCATCCGTCCGTTGAACTCACTTGTGAGTAGGCATAGAAGTTGATGTAAAAACCAGTTTTTAATTGTTGTCTAAAAATGGAAAGAGATGTTAATACAGAATAAAACGAATATAGGAATTCCAGAAAATATTACACACACACGTTAACATGAGTATAAATAACAAGTTTAACATGAGTAATAAATATATTAAAGAAATTAAAGTAGATGATGTAAGAATAAAAAGGCCAAGAAATTTAACTTTACATTGAACATCCCGATTCCTTTGATACTAGTACAGTAGAGCCTCGATTATCCGACCCCCGATTAACCGACTGTCCGAGTCGGCAAATTTCAAATGTCCGCTAGTGATGTGGCACTAAAATATTTGGCTATGTCTTGGCTAGTTTAATAATATTTTTACGTGTTTTAGCTGGCAACACTCATTCGACCATGAAAGGGAGCCAGTATTTAAACGAGGCTTAATTTTTTAATTTTTAACGATACAATAGCGACGACTATTATTTTACAAAATTTTTATTAGGCTTAACATCGATGAAAATTCAACGCGAAGTAGATTAATAGCGATATACTAATTACATGGGATATAATAATATACTACACTAATAATGGATTTTTTCATACTTTTCGGTTATCCGACTTTTCAATTATCCGACCAACCCTAGTCCCCAATTGAGTCGGATAATCGAGGCTCTACTTTAGTCTACTAACTGCTGATGTCGAATTGTTCAAATGTATCAGCTGTCTACTGTTTGAAGTTTTCGTTTTTGGATTTAAGATTCGTAATCACGCGTTGAACGTTCCACTAGTTGTGAGATATGCCTACCAGTGGCCAAGCGGTCTTCGTACACCTGAACCTTGGGTTCGCGCCTCGCTCGGACGGGCTGGCCACGTGGGATTTTCTCCACGTCTGTAACGCCTAAATAGGAGCTTTAAAAAGACATCCTGGAAGGCATACCCCTAGGCAGATCGCCCAAGTGTTGCGTTGCCATAACTTAACAAACAGTTGAGGTACACAGTAATGAAATATTTGCATGTCAAAAACGTTTTGGTATTTTGCTCATGCCTATTGAGTTCCTGTCTCGAGGAGCAACAATAAATGCCGAAAATTGTTGTACTACACTAAAAAATTACGGTGATTCAAAATAAGATGTGTCCTGAGCGCTGGAATGATTTTCCTTCATGATCATATTCTGCTCATAGCACAAGAATTACTGAAAAATTTAAGTGGGTAATCTGAACATTCACTTTATATTCCCAATCTAGCACTTTCTAGCTTTCACCTGTTTCCGCATTTGAAGTTTTTGGAAGGACAAATTAACAGGGCTGCAGACGACTACTAGGTTGAGTCCGTAAGTTGGCAGGAGACTTCTTTGACAATGGAAAAGCTTGTTTCTATAACAAATCTGAACATCAAAGTGAATATGTTGAAAAATAGCTGTAATTAACATATTCCCGGGAAAATAAGAGCATGCTCTTATAGATGGAGTAAAATTGGCACTATTCTGCAGAATACCTAAAAGATTCCCTACTTTTAATAGAAATTTCTTTTAGTAATCTTTTAAGTAAAACTATGCATTATACCGGACATTTATAACCTAGTAAAAAATCCAAAAGATGATTATAAATATGATTTTTTAAAATTAACCTTACTAGGTAGCAGGGCTGTGGAGTCGGAGTCGGGAGGAATTTCTGGCTAGAGGAGTCGGAGCCGGAAAAAAATGTGTCGACTCCGACTCCGGCATTTCTCTTTTTTTGTTTTCTATAGAAAAATTAAAACGTAAAAATATCTGCGAAAAATTTCACCCCTAACGCGATTTTATAGTAAAAATATTAGAATAATATGAAATAATTTAAAATATATCGTTAGAGATGCTTTATTTGTCATTTTATTGCATTAAAAACAAGTAACGAGACACTGGGATCTCCAAAATTTACAACTATTTGACCTTTAGCCAGCTGCTTGGTGAACTTTCGCGGGACGTCCTTACGTAGACTTTGAGGGGAATCGGTGTTCTAGTAAGGTGTGCAGTAGTTCCAGGAATAATCCCAATATGAACACGCGCTGTTTGGTCATTACTACTATTTCTCTGGGGGGAGACCGACTTCCTTGTCCGATTCAGGATTCGTATTTGCGTCCTTTTCGTCCAACCTGGGTTAACTCGGAAAAAGTACCTAAAGGGTTTTTACTATAATTCTCAAGTTCAGATTATTTTACTTGTGACTTGTAAGTATGAATTATATTTATTTACATATTATTTTTAAGAGTTATGTTTTATATACTTAAATATTGTTAGATACCTAATTACCCTTTCACAATTTCACAATGGAAAAGAAAGTGTTGTCAAATTCAAAGTCTGCAGTTTTTGAATATTATACTCTTACAATGGATGGAAAATATTATCAGTGTAAATGCATTGTAGAAAATGATGATGGCAAACATGTATGTGAAGCAAAAAAATGCGCCTACAAGAGCAAGTAATCTAAAAAGACATTTGCAACGTCTGCATCCTAAAATTCTACAAGAAGTAAATGAAAAAGACAACAGTAGAAACACTTCATCTATTTTAAAATTAGAAAATATCCAAAAATTAAGTTCAGTACAAACACAAGTATGCAAATTCTTTGCTTCGGATAAAGTTACAGTAACAATGACGGGTGCAAAATTTAAAAATCTGATAATTGAAATGGTGGTGCAAGATAGTGTGCCTTTAATCTTTTTTTCACGGCCAGCCTTTTTAGGCTTAAACGGTGAAATGGCGAGAAAACTTGGAGTTTCACTAGATAGAGAAAACATCAGAAGGCTTATAATTGAAGAGGCTGTTTTGAAAAAAGATGAACTCCGGAAAAAACTGAAGGATCGCTTGATATTTATTAAAATGGATGCATGCACTCGTCATCGAGTGAATTATTTTGCAATTAATGTTCGATTTATTGATGAGAATAATACAATTGTTACGAAGACATTAGCAGTAAAAGATACTATGGCTCATCACACAGGAGAGTATCTGCAGAAGTTGGTTCAAGAGGTATTAGAAGATTTTAAAATTAAAAAGGAGAATATTTTGTGTATTGTAACAGATAATGCTTCGAATATGTTAAAAATAACTGAGAAAATGAATCAAGATAATGAGATTCCATTAGAAGACATTCATGAAATATTCTNTTACAAAGCTATATTTAATTATAATTTTCTTTAAAAGTATATTCATACAATTGAAGAATGTTTTGTATCAGATATGTATATCCACCACACATTTTATTTTACCAAGTAAGTTTTTATAATTTTATTTTTAATTTTATCCCCGCGACACTGCCGAGAGGAATGCTTCGAGGGAAGTCTTTTAATTAAGGGAAACTGACTTATTTACATGTTAATTAAAAGAGGACAACACACGAAAAAGGTAGAGAACCCTTGTATTAATTGGCTTAACCTTATATCTTTATTGGTCTGTAAGAAATTGGAACCAATTTTTCATTTTACTTTCCTGGCTTCTTATGTATTGTTAAATAACACGGTAAAGTAATTGGAATCGTATCAAATATGACTCGCCAAGATTTTTGCCATTTGCGACGTTTTGAATCTCCCCCCAAAACTGCGATGAGTTGCGTAATTTTCCTGTGTTATGAGATATTATTTTAAAAATAACATTTAAATTGTGTCTGGCGCCATCTGTTATGAGATTTTGTTATAAAAAAGTTATATTATTAATTATTATAAGATGACAAAAACTTTAATTTTGAGGGCAGTGATAGATTTTATAAAAAAAATCGTAATCGTAAATGCTAATAACGAATAATCTTCGTTAAGTCCGATCTCTCTCGAGATATGACACGTGATAACCTATTTCCCCACCCCTCTTTTAACCACCAAACTTTACTATCATCAAGTAACTTATACAGTGCCGGCCCGAGGCAAGTTTTAGGATGGAGCGAAATCCTGTTATGGCGCCCCTCTAGGTTGCCCCTAATTTATACCCTTTAATTTTCTTTACCACTGAGGCGCCCCCTAGGACTTAGCGGCTGGAGCAACCGCTCCAGCCGCTATGGTTCGCCCTATGGTAGGCTCTGATGGCGAAAATGGCTGAACTTCTAATATACCACCAGTGACCTAGTAAATAAAACCATTGAACACTGGTAATTGGTTGTGAGTTCGCATCTAGTCAACCAGCTGGCTTCATGGAGTTTTCCGGATTTTTTTCTCATGTGTCTCATCTTTCATCCAGTTGTAGAAATCTGGCAACCTTAGATAATGACGGATCCAGAAATCTTTAGAAGGAGGTGCAAAAGATAACTTACAAAATTTTTATTACCTGAGGTACCCGACTTTAATCGAGAAAAACACTGAAAAGGGTGATGGAACTGCGCCCTGCGCATCCCTGAAAATCTGCCCCTGATCCTAGGTGTTAGTAGCAGGGCTGTTGAGTCGGAGCCTGGAGGAATTTTTGGCCAGATGAGTCGGGAAAAATGTGTCCACTCCGACTCCGACTCCGGCATTTTAAATTTAATTTAGTTTTTTTTTTATTTAAATGAAAAAAAATATTTTATATTTAATAAATTTTTAAAATGTGTTTGTATTTTGTTATAATTCATTTATTTTAAATACAAAATGCAACAATTTAATTTATTAAATATGTATTAATAGTTTTCTTTGTAGTATTTGTATTTAGTAGTTAAATTATTTTGACCCAAATGAATTTGAATATTTTTTATTTATTCCTTTATTATCCCCGCTCTAAATAAGTACAGTAGAGCCTCGATTATCCGACTCAATTGGGGACTGGGGTTGGTCCGATAATTGAAAAGTCGGATAACCGAAAAGTATGAAAAAATCCATTATTAGTGTAGTATATTATTATATCCCATGTAATTAGTATATTAGTATATCGCTATTAACCTACTTCGCGTTGAATTTTCATCGATGTTAAGCCTAACAAAAATTTTTTAAAATAATAATCGTCGCTATTGTATCGTTAAAAATTAGAAAATTAAGCCTCCTTTAAATACTGGCTCCCTTTCATGGTCGAATGAGTGTTGCCAGCTAAAACACGTAAAAATATTATTAAACTAGCCAAGACATAGCCAAATATTATAGCGCCACATCACTAGCGGACATTTGAAATTTGCCGACTAGGACGGTCGGTTAACCGAGGTATCGGTTAATCGGGGGTCGGATAATCGAGGCTCTACTGTACTCTATTTTTCTAAAAGAGCCAGACTAATTGATCAGAGTATATATTTTTCTTTTCTGAACATGGTGCTAAAGTAACCAGATCGTACACTTTTTAGTTGAACTAACTTTTCTGGAAAGGTGAAATTGAAGTGCAAAAGCTGTAGAATAAAGATATGTAGATGTAGAATTTTATCGCTCCTCCTTTTCCCTCTTATTAAATATTTGTATTGTTAAAATTAATGTTTTTTATACAAATAAATATTAATGTAAGATAAATATTAAAAATACTAACTATAAAAGTATTTGGGTAAATGCCCGGGTCTCCTTTTAGAGTTCAGAGTAGTGTAACCCCCTATGAGCGCCTCTGCACCCCATAAAATGACTTGGTATTTAATTTTGCCAGAGTCGGGAATCAGAGTTGGAGTAGAGTGTTTTTTTACCGACTCTGCAGTCCTGATTATTAGCATACAAATTTGTTCTTACTAGTCGTATGAAGAACTTTTGTCATTTCTTTAATATCAGGAGACCTTTGAACTACCGTATACGTAATTAAAGGGAGTTGTCAAAAGTACAATACTGTACAGGAGAAAAGGGGATCAAATGTGGCTCAAAAACTATACACGGAATTAATGGACTAAGGCTTAGTGAGCTGCGTGAGTAATAAACATAAATTTTTTCCGCCTATCTACGGCATTTTTACTTTTCCGGCTGTTATACAGAGGGAAAGTATGGCAATCCGGCAAAAAATGACCCCCCAGATTTTTACATTTTTGGACTTAGGACACTTTGAAACGTCGAGAAATGAAAAAAATCGATTTTTTTTGTATGTATGTATGTTTGTGTTTATGGGATACGATTTTGTTCATTCATTCACTATGAAGTTTAATTAATAACTCCAGTACTTTTTGTCGGAAATTTCTAAAATTTTGCAGGAAAATTTGTATTTACGTTAGTACTACTACTCTGATTATGAAAAATATACTCATATATTAATACTACTCAACTGACATTTTATTTTGTATTTACTTAAGCGTTTAATTTGCACTAATTCCTCTATGAATTGTTTTTAGATAAAATTATATTTTTATTATTTATTTTTGGATTCATAATTATTTTGAATATTTGTTCTCTTAGGCTAGTGCCTATTGGGTCTAATGTGAAATCCACCACTCAAGTCGACCACCTTATTTTTTTATAAGAACAAATTTACATATGCCACTAATACCACTAAAAATGTCCATGTAGACAATTTCTTGACACCCTTCGTATATAATGGTATACTTTTCACAATTCCTATCGCTCCTTTAAATTGCACACATAATAGATAATCCTTTATGTGGTTTGTGGACGTTCTCATTTCGCTTTTTAAATATAAGTTAGGTAATTATTGATAAATAGATAATTTTCACGTGATAAAATTATATAACAGATTAATATTTTTACCATTTGGAAATTCAAATGATAATAAGTTAAAAATTAATCAATTGTATCAGTATTGTTTTAGTCAATTATACAGTAAATGTTAATTAAACGTTCTATATTTGTTACTGCCATAGACGAAAGTGAAAAAATACAATAGTAATTTATTGAAAAGTTTTATACATACGTTAAATATTAAATTTAACACGGAATAGGTATTGAATTGTTTATACAGAAACAGTTATCTCCGATTAGCTTAGATTATCATTATCATATATTATTTAATATTAGATGATCATTATCATTTCAAAAACGCTCTTGAGATAATTTGTTTGTGAATTTTCAAAGTAGAAGAGAATATACATTTTGTTGTAGGTATGAATGTTTTTCTTTAATTAAACTAATGAATTACGTGGTTTGGTTTATTTGGTTATGGCAAAGCGACATATAGACGATGCCTTTCGGGAGAACTTTTGTGGGAAACTGACCTCTATTTAGGTGCTACTAACGTGAAGAAAACCGGAAAACTTCACGTGGCCACGTAGAGTTTTCCGGGTGATCAGCTTTTTTTTTATCCACTCGGTTAATAGTGGGTCATGAATTATGTGAATAAAAAGAAGCAAATGATCACATCAAATTAATATATAAATTTGAATGTTTTATATACAAATATTTTTATACGTTTTATATAAAAGATATATTATATTGAAATAATATGTAACAACAGATGAATATATTCATATTTTATGTGTAGGTAAGAATCAATGGAAAAATTAGGTGCGGAAAGAAGAAACAAGCTGAGTCTTCATAACGTTGACGGATTCCTTTTTACAGATAAATGTTCTGTTAAAAATTTTCGGCAGGCTCTTTCTTTTAAACCGAGAGCCAATGACATTATAATTGCGGGATATCCAAAATCTGGCACTACGTGGCTGCAATATATCATTTGGGAGATCATCAGTCGAAAAAAGACTTTTCCAAACGTGAATGAAATGAGATGGAAGGAGGTGCCTCAATTAGAAATGGCTGGTACCGAAGAGATAGAGAAAATAGAAAGTTCTCGCTTGCTTAAAGTGAATCTTCCTTTTAATCTTACTCCATATCATCCATCTGTAAAATACATTTACGTAATTCGTAATCCATGGGATTGTTGCATTTCGGGGTTTAACTATTACAAACAAATAGACGAATGCTTTTCAGATGGTACGTTTGAAGATTACTTCGGATACTTTATAAAAGGCGAGACGACACACGGAGATTATTTCGAGCATTTATTGTCTTGGTATAGTCGTTGGAAGGATCCTAATGTACTTTTTTTGACCTACGAAGAAATGAAACGAGACATTCGTAATGTGGTTTTAAAGATAGCAGCATTCGTAGGGAATGAATATCAACAAGCGTTAAATAAGGATAACGAATTGTTAGAAGATATTCTTTGCCGATTGCATTTTCGATATATGAAGGAGAACTGTCCGTTCTATCTCTCCACGGATTCCGGAACAAAAATTAATTTTTTTCATACAGGCCGCATAGGTCAATGGAAAGAATATTTTACGGACGATCATAATGCAATTTTGAAAAACAAATTTATTGAAAAATTAAAGAATACAGAAATAATCCGTATGTGGCAAAATTCAGATATTCCTTGATTTATTTGATATTGTTACTCGACTTTTTCCCCCCAAATATATGTATTAACTATAGGTTGAAAAATAAATAAATAACAATTACAGTTAAAACATAAAGTTTATTTAATTTCATTAATTTTAACGAGTTTTGATTAGAATGACTTTTTAGTTATTTATATGCTTTTAGTTAACTTTATATTTTAAAATATGAAATTTAGAAATTTGTCTATTTGAGATAACTTAATTTATTGTCGTAACTAGTTACGATACGATAGTTATCGTGATAGAAAGCAGAAATGTAGGCTATTATCATTCTGAAAATTTGAGCTATATGTAATGTACAGTACTAGTCTAATTCACCGATTTATTATTTTTACTAATTATATAGAAAATCGCGTCGTTTTATCTAATGAGCGGGTATAAACAATATTTCGAATTCAATTTATCGAAATAATGAAAATTCTTTGAATAATTATAATTAATAATTATAAATTATAAATTAATTTGTAAATGTCGACCGTAAAAATGTGTCTTTAGGCCTATATATGTTACATTCAAAACCCGTTTTTAGTTAGAACGCGTTTTAACTAGTTGAAACTAGTTTATACTGAATGTCTTTGTTAAAACCCGTTTTGTCTAGTTGAAACTAGTTTATACTGAATGTCTTTGTTAAAACTAGTTTTAACTCAAATTCATTTTTGACTAGCAGTAAATTCTAGTTTTAACTACACAAAACCGGTTTTGTCTAGTTAATTTACTGCTGTACATGTTTTGACTTTAGATAAAACTAGTTTTAACTTTTAACATTAGTTAAAACTAATTTTAGCTACATAAATATGTTTGGGGGAAATAAAGTTATGTATAGTGATTCGGCGGAAGATGCCTAACATTTTGCTTATGAAGAAAATTACAGCGCTAATTTGAGTTTAGGAGCCCTCTAATGAAAATATCATATTCTGGAGTATGTCTTTCAAATAAAAGTTTGGAGTTTATTTTAAAAAATTCTATACTGTGTTTGCAATGACGACTTTTTCACTGTCTGGCATTTTAAGCATCTCACCCCAAGTATCTGGGTGAGATGCCAAATGCCATTAGGGTAAGATAACAAATATAATTGCTTAAAATTAATTTTTGAATTTCTTAACCAAATTTAATTTATTGCATATGTAGTACAAAGTACTTCATAGTAAGTATAACAGCACAGTATAAGTATTGTTAAGTTTCCGCCCGTTCTAACGTGTTCTATAGCTAGCTGAAAGCTTTTTTCAGTCCAAAAACTTTTTTGAGAAGTCCTTATATAATTTCTATGCATATCCTGCAATAAAACGAGAAAACAAAAGTTTATTAAAAATAGGCATATTGGAAATCAATTAACAAAAAATAGGCACGTTACCCCAAGAAAAATGTGGCATATTTTCCATTTGTTGGGGTAAGATGCCTAGTAGAGTCACGTGCTCCAGCATGTCCGATCGGGATCGGCGGTAGCTGACAATGGAAACTTTAGAACCTTAACTACATCACACATTAATTGTTTTTAGCAATTTTTAATAAATTCCATTTTAACTTTTAGTTTAAAATTATTCTAGAAACATTTCACAACAAAAACTTCGTTCTTATCTAGCTTTTATTCTTCTCGGATGTAGAAAATGAAGTAACGGTAGCCAACTACAGCTTTCCGCACTCAATATTGGCCCAACGATTCATCATACAAATACATGACAATATGTGACGTCACCGTTTGAAAATATCAAAAATTAGGCATCTTCCCCCGCTTACCATCTTACCCCGAATCACTCTATGCGTTGCAGTCAAACCAGTTTTTAGTTAGGATGCGTTTTAACTAGTTAAAACTAGTTTATACTGGATGTCTTTGTTAAAACCCGTTTTGTCTAGTTAAAACTAGAATTTACTGCTAGTCAAAAATGAATTTGAGTTAAAACTAGTTTTAACTAGACAAAACGGGTTTTAACAAAGACATTCAGTATAAACTAGTTTCAACTAGTTAAAACGCGTTCTAACTAAAAACGGGTTTTGACTGTAACATATATATATACACTAAGATCCCGCTTAACGCTGCCTCAATTAACGCGGATTCGATATAACGCGGTCTGCTCGAAGCCTAAAAAAAGCTCAAAATTTACGTTAATTCAAATTATCGCGGCATTTCATTGATTTGTATATGATACGATTATTCCCAAACACGAAGAACCAATCAGCAAAAGGTGGCAATTCGTCGTAGCGCTGTACTTTCCTTAAATCTATGTGTGGTGTAATTTTGGAAAAAAATATAACATCATGGATGCCTTAGGCAATATCGACTTCTCTTGGCAAAAATTAACTGATAAATACATAAACGAAGTGTGGAAGAAGTTATGGCTGGAGGTATCCAAGAATTCTCAACGAGAAGAACCTATCGCTGTATTGTTAGGTTGACCAAATTCTCAACCTTATCGATACAGCCGGACTAGGAGATGTAGCAGAGCAGGATATTTAGGAGTTACTGCAGGTTACTGGCGAAAGCCTTATCAACGACTTTCAAGAACTGGCAGAACATGGAATTCATGTGGAACTGGAAAATGGAGATTCTGAAAACGAAGAACTCAAAGAATTTCTATACAGATTTCCTTAGTAAAAGTTTGGTAAGATAACCGAAATCGTTGATCAAATTGTAGCGAATGATCCAGATTTTGAAAGGAGCGCAAAAGCGAGACGAGGCGATTTGGATGCGATCTCTCGCTACCAACATTTGCTTACGGAAAGAAAAAGAAAGCGACAAATGAACTACGCGACTTCATCGCAAAAAACAAGAATTTCAGAACAGCCAGGACCTTCGTCACCAAAAATGAACTTTATATTTCATTGTGTATATGTTTCTATTATTTAACATTTATTATTATGCAAATTAATATAAAAATAACTTAAAATTAAAATAAAATCTGTTTTTTTTTTGGTCGCGTGTTCCTCTTTTCCTATGTACTCTATGTTAAAACGACTTCATTTAATGCTGTTTAGTTTAGTTTTTTGTCGTCTACGAACGTATCAGCCGCGTTAAGCTGGGTCTTACTGTGACATTAAAGTTTAAAAATTGTAGATTTTTAAATTGATTCTACAAACAAAATATACAAAATATATAATAAGCTATAATCCGTATAGGGCCAGAATGAAAGTAATCAATTTATGAAGTATAACTTACAGAGATTTTTCAAGAAATTAATTTCTTGATGGACAGGATTAAGGCTTACTGTGAAGAACTTGGCTTCTATTATACTATTTTAGATGCGGTTTTTTTGCGTTTTTGGTTGCGTTTTAATAGGGTACGTCAAGAGAATGTACACTAAGAAGAAATTTTTCGAAAAATTCTCCCCCACGGGGGAAGTGTTATAAATTTATAATAGATACATTTTGAGCCACAACAACGCGTGGCGGGGTCTGCTAGTT